AGAATTTTATAATTTAGTATTTAGGCTCAAAAATTTAATTGCAGAAATATAGCATTAGATATTAAAAAGTTCATTTTAGAAAAATCTGATGGTTTTTTCATCCTGTCTGATGTATCTTATCACTGAGACATAGCCAAATCATATGCTGACTATTTTAGTCTGTCTTAATGTAAGTACTTTATCCAGCTCAAAATCAGGTCATCATATTCAGTTTGGGGTGCCAGATTTTAAAGAGATGTGACAAAGTGGGAGTGATGAGAACTTGAAGGCAGATGAATGCTCACCAAACTCAAGAGACTGAAGGGTAAACTGTAGACAAACAGTACCAATTTGTCTGTTTATAATGAGTATTATAATTGCCATGGGGATTAGCCTTCCAAGTCTTCTGCCTTTTCATTCATTCATTCATGAAATATTTATTGAGAACCTAACCATATGCCAGGCACTGTTTTAGGCATTGGGAATAGAAAACATACAAAAATTACTGCCTTCAATGACTTTGTATTTTACTGCCTTCAATGACTTTATATTTTAGTATGAAGAAACACATAATAAACAAAGTAAGTAGATGTGGAGAAAATGGAAATTTCTGACTAGGATTCCTGCCTGGCTTTAATAGTGCACGTTGTATGTATATATAAGAGCCGGTTTGCACGTCTATGGAATGTTTATGGGGACAGAGCAGCTGGCTGGTCAAGTCAGGGGAATACCGGGGATGGGAATGGGGCAGAGGAAATACCCATTCTCTCCTCTCCTCAGTTCCTGGCACATCATTGGTTGGTATCCGCCAGTCACCATAGAGGCCCAAAAGTTCTTCCCCATGTGGGGAAGCTGGGAGCCATGATAACGGGGAGCTTGGAGAGTGGGGAAGGGAAGCCTGGAGGGAGGACTAGGAGAGAATGGCGGCTGGCAGAGGGAAGCCTTGGAGACCTGGTGCTAGGAGAGGATTAAACCCATGCGGGGGAGCAGGAAGGAACACGCTGGATCCGGCTGCTTGTACTTAGCCGGGTGACTGCTGTGAGAATAAATGTGGAATGAACCCTGCCCCCCTTTTTTTATGAACCCCTTTTAAAACCCCCAGCTTCTTGCCCACGCCTTTATTTGGTCTCAGCGAATTCATAGGGGACTTGCCTAGGGGCAAGGAACCCCCTCCTCTTGGAGCAACAGTAGTGAGACAGGCACCATGGGCTTAGACAAAATAGGCTGAGGGCTTCTGGAAAAAGCAGGCAGGATACTTGCAGTCAGAGCAATGTAACTACATGCAAGGAAACCCCCTACCAAAACTCTGTGTTGAACATTAAGCTCTAGAGTCATTCTTCAGTGAGATCAGTTAATATTCCCCAGATAAAGAAGAGTAGCACATGTTTTTATTAAGCTAATTGTAAGGTTGAAGGCACTGGGGGGAGGGGTGAGCACGGCAGACGTGCCAAAGTCCCTGGCTGCTGCCCCCTCCCAACCTGAAAAATGTGCCTTAGGCTAGCCAATCCTTGCGCCACTGTATATCTAAGCTCTGCCTCACCCTACCTTCTTTAAAAACTAGCTGCCTGCCCTGCTAAGTGTGACTTCCCAGGCCTGTGTTTCAGACTGAGGAACATCACCCGGGAATTGCGCTCAAATAAACTGCCTTGCCCTTTGTTGCCTCTCGTCACCTGCTTAATTCGGCTAGAATTTATCTTACACTAATCATTTGTAATCATGTGTAAGATTCACCTTAGCATGCGAAAGACCCAGGCCTATGTGCTGTCTTTCCTCCTTCAGATCTGATGAGGTGATTTTGCAAACTGGGCAACTAATTTAGCATGCAGACCTAGCTGTAAACAACATAATAAAAGGCAGGAAGGATTTCACCTTAAAGATAAGATGGCATTTTAAGACCCAGAAAGTTTAAGAAATAAGATTAACTTACTCTTTGGCAAACAGACAATACATCAGCCCACCTTGGGGGCTGGGCAGGCAGCCTTTTGATATCCTTCTAGACCAAGACGCCAGTATCCCAGGGAGAAATCAGAGCAGTAAAATTTCTTGTGTTAAGTTAATTTTTAATATTCAGGGACCACTTAATAAGTCCATACCCCTAAGCCTTTTATCTGGTTCCCAAAAATCCTCAATTGCCTATAAAACCCCTAGACAACGCACCACTGCGGGCTCTCTTGTCCCCTCCTGGCTCATGCCAGGAGCTCTGTCTGTCCTGTATCTCTCAAAAGTCTCCCTGGCTCTCCTACCTTGACTGTTTGCTAAGTTCATTCTTTGACTCCTCAAACAAGAACCCCAGCATCAGTAGGTTAGTGAAATGGTGTCTTAGAAGGTCGTATGTGCTACAAATGGTATGGTCAGAGAAGGCCTTGCTGAAAAGGTAGAGTAACTAACTCTGTGTCAAGAGAAAGAGCATCAACACAGAGGAACAGCAGGCTCAATGACACTAAGGCAGGAACAGACCTGAAGTGTCTGGAACAGCAGAGCCCAGATGCGATGGACTGGAGTGAGGAAGAAAGTCAGAGAAGAGAGGTAATAGTGATAAAGACAGAGAAGTCGTGTGAGGTGGGGGACAATTTATATAGGGCTTATAGGCACTAAAAGAATTTTGGCTTTTATTACAAATAACATGGGAATCCATTGGAGGGGCGTGGGTAAAATTGTAATATTTCCAGAATATCTCGCCTGGCTTTGGTACATCTGCATATCAACAGGCGTTCAGAGGCGTAAAGAAGTAGGCTTTAGTGCATTTGCATCTTTCATCTCCATATCAATGGGTAATTACCTGGGCAACAGAGAGCTTGTCTGTACCAGAGAAGTGAGAGAGAGGGCCAGAGGGCCGGGGGATTGCTGCTTGAGCAGGAGAGAGATGGGCCGGATGGCAGTTTTGTAAGACCCTTTCACCCCAAAGAGCGTTTTGCGTCAGTTTCTTTGGTCACACTGAATCCATAGCGAACTTGCCCAGGCTGAAACCTATTACAAAGACAAGGGGTTTTGGCAGAGGGAAGACTTGATCTAACTTAAAAGGATTAATTTTAAAAGGATTGTTCGTATTCAGTGTTGAGATTGAACTGTAACTGGAGGTGGTATGATGTGGAGAAACCAAAATAGGGAGTCTTGTTAGGAGGTTATGGCAATCCATGGTGGCTTGGAGCAGGATGGTGGTGTTGGAGGTGGTGAGAAGTGGTTAGATTCTGAATATTTTGAAGGTTGGGTCACAGGACATGCTGTTAAATTGGATGTGGGGTATCAGAAAATGAGAGCCAAAATGGCTGAGGTTTTTTTCCCCTGAGCACCTGGAAGGATGGAGTTCCTGATAACCTGAGAAGAGGGCACTGTGAATGGGGGAGGTTTGGTGGTGAATGTCAGGAGGTACATCTGAAGTTTGAGGTGCCCTTTGGACATCCTAGTGGTTAGTATATCCTCCCTCAGAAGGCACTGTTAAGTGGAAAGCCAAGTCTTAAACAGTTTTCTTAAGATTGAAGGACTATAAGCAGGAGCTGAAGGATCACAGTGAACTCATCTGTGGACTTGAGGCATCTGCCTTCATCGCCCAGGGGCCTGGAAGCAACCTTCCTTCGTGGACAGTGCTGGAGGAGCAAGGCCAACTTCATCATTGGCCTTTTCTTTTCTAATGCATTGTAATCATTACCCTTTGCACACATTGCTCTTTGGACTGGGGAGAATGGGCTATAACTTTATATCTTCGTGAGTTTGTGTTTTTTGAGGCTTCACTGTTCACCTCAGGTGAGCCATGTTAGTGACTTACTGAGACCATTTTTATGTCATTATTGTGAAGTAGGTTACTTATTTTGATGGATGGTGGCTGAAAGGTTGTGTCATCTCCCCCCACTTTACTTTTGGAGAGCAAATTTATCTTAAATCTCCTAGTAGTGTTAGTTGAATGAAAGTTGGTGGAATACTCTGTATCTCTCTGAAGTATCCAACTATGGGGTGGTATTTGGAATAACTGAGGATATTTTATTTTTAAAAGTAAAGATAAATGGTAGCCCCAAATGCTTGAAAGGATCGTTATGTAAAATAGGGAACTGACTTATTTTGTGTTCCCCAGGGGACAGAAGATTGCCTACAGGTAGAATTCACAAGAAAACAGGAAAAAGTGCTTAACAGTCCCATGGGCTGTTGCTTGATAGTGTCAGGATTGTGGGAAACATTCAAAGAGAAAGTAGGTGACTGTTCAGTACGTTGAAGTGATTTCTATATTACACAAGGAGAGATTATTTCTGAAGTACATTTCAACATTTATAATTGCTATGATAATGTCATCTTTCTCCTTATTACTGAGCCATTGGTGTCATTAGTGAGAGTATAATTGCAGTGATATAGTTCACCATGCCTTCTCTACTCCCAACCTTTTTCCTTAGCTGGCAAAAGGAGTGTATTTGTAAAATGGTTGGCTGGAGTCCAGGCTAGAATGTGTGGTCCTGTAACATCTTATAATGGCATTAAGGTAATTAAATGACCATTAATGACCTTGTCTTCCTTACCTTTAGGCTCCAGCTGAGTTAACTGGCCAGTTAATGGTTATTGAGGTTTGTGTGCAATGGAGCATTGACTGAAGGTTGGGAGATAAAATTCCTGTCCTGTAGGTTTTAACCTTAAAAATGTAAGTGTTAGAATATACAGGAAAACAGGGTGGATTTATCTGTTATATATATGGACCCAATCTGGTATGTAACCTCTGAAATCTCCAGAGGTCCAGAATAAGCTTTTGTATGTTTTGTGTGGTATAAGGCTTACAAATATAATACATTTTATGAGCCACCATACATTTTATGAACTGCCATATATGTATATAGGTATATATTTGTACATATTTCAACTGTAGGAAAATAAAAATTAGATGTTAGCCTTCTTACTGCTTATCAGAATAAAGACATACTCACTTTACATCAGCATCCACATATTAAACATATCCAAGGCTAGTCTAGCACATTGTAGACCTTTTTGCATGTATATTTTTGTCATATTTGAAAACTAATTGTGATACCTTTTATATATTACAGGATCTAAGCCTTTCCCACGTTATGGTTATAAACTCTCCCCACCGAATGGATGTGGCTCTCCACTGTTTGGTGTTCATGTAAATATTATTTTTTATTTGATAAGCTATAAAATCCTCTTGATAATCTAAGACTGTAATTGTGTTCTCAGGTTCACAAATAATTTTGCATGTTGTAGTAGTGACCAGGTTTGTTATATTCCTTTATAGCTAAAATGCATTTAATAACTCCTAATAAAACTAAATGGAGTAAACTTCAGGTTTTATTTTTTAATCTTATTGATGTTAGTACCATTTAAATGATATTTCCTCATGTCACAAACACAGCTTAAAGTTTGGAATATAGAAGTACTACACTTAGGATGAAAAAGTACAAATAAAGCATAATATTTCCTATATCAAAACTAGGCTAAGTGGGATAGCTGTGATTGTTATAGGGCAGGCAGGGTCTGAGCCAAGTATTATGAGAAAAAAATATTTATGAGAGTGATTCCTAGACACAGCGGTTTTGCACTTAAAATAGTTAAAGGTAAGTTATATATTTGAAGGAACAGTATCTTTAGGGAATGGTAAAAGATTAATATAACACAAACAAAATTTGAGCTGTAGGAGCTTAAAAGGTTTCAGTGACATTTCATACAAAGTACATTTTATTGAGGGAGGAGGTATAGAATAGAATACTTTGGAATATCCAAAAACCATACTTGCCTAGGCCCTGGAGAAATCTTTTAATGCTCTTAGCCTTACCTTTCTGTTTTTAAAGCTATGTGTTATATTTTAGACATTTGGAAGTTTTGTTTGTTGTCAGCAGATAACTGTGAACATTCCAACATTGCAAAATAGGGAGTTTTGAGGCACATGTAAGAGGGACACCACTGAGTAACACGGGTGAGTGCAAATGAGAGTAATGGAGAGATGGAGGACATGGAAAAATTTCGTAGGCAGCAACAGATTTTGGAAATTATGTATCAGTCATTATCATTGATTTCTAAGTCTATTTGAATGCAGTGTTTCAGCAGAGGAGTTTTTAAATTCACCAGCCAATAATCCATCCAAATGCCTCTTTCAGCTTAACATCGGCATCCCATCCCTGACAAAGTGCTGCAACCAGCATGACAGGTGCTACGAGACATGTGGCAAAAGCAAGAACGACTGTGACGAGGAGTTCCAGTATTGCCTCTCCAAGATCTGCCGAGATGTGCAGAAAACACTAGGACTAGCCCAGCACGTTCAGGGTAAGTAAGGACGATCCAGTGGGGTGGGGATGAGTGCAGTTTAGAGAGTTTTAGTGAATGACTTATGTTTAAATAAGGATTTACCAACAGAAATCTTTCACTGTGTATTACCTTATCTGTTGTGATAAAACCCCTTCAGTTAACTGAGAAGACAAGTCAGTTTTGTAATCTAAAATGATTTTAAAGCACAGAAACAAAAGGTATTAGGAAACCTTGGGAAGAGGGTATGTGAGGCAAAGAAGAATTTATCCAAGATACTATGCCCTGTAATATATCTCTAATTTTCCAGAGCCTAAAGTCTGAAACTCTATGCAGTGACTTTAAGAGTATATAGCACACATACAGAGCTATAGACAGAGAAAGACAAATGCCATATGATTTCATTATATATGGAATGTAAAAAACCAACCAAACCAAACAGAAATAGACTCATAGATACAGAAAACAGACTGGCTGGTTGCCAAAGAGAGAGGAGTAGGGAGAGGGGCGTGAAATAGGTGAAGGAGAAAAAAGTGGTGAGAATGTTTGAGATCTTCATTTAGGTGATGGGAAAAAGAAAAATTTAGTACGCTGGATCTGGAGTAAGAAGTTCTGGAAGATTTGAATCTTAACTCGGTCTCTTCATATGTATCTGCATCAGAAGGGTCCCCATAGCCACTGCCAAGTTGAGTAGATGTGCTAGGAGGACTCACAGGGCTCAGCATATATTTGTACTCATAGTGATAATTATTACAGTGAAGGGATGCAAAGCAAAGTGAACAAGTGGAAAAGGCACTTCAGTGTGCCCCTTCTTAAGATGAGAACAGTAATACCCATGTCACAGAGTTGTATTTATGTCTAATACAAAAAAATACCACAGATGGATGTATTTTCTGTTTTCGGATCTAGGGACATACTAATGTGGCTAAATGGCAAATCTGATTTCCTTGCAGTGTCCTGTTTAATAATCATAGCCTTTATACTTATATGGTTGGTTGTGCTCTTTAATGGCACAGCCTTTTGGAGAACTTTGAAAATGTCAAGAATTGTAATGAAAAATTTCTTCCTTAAAATGAGTATCTGAAACTGGAAGTATTTGGAAAACTAAAAGCCACGCTGTGCTGTCTCTGTAAGTGTATTCTATTAGATAATCTCACCTGGGTATTCCAGGTTTCTCAGAATAAGAAAAACAAATGCAGTATCTTTTTTATAGTCTTAAAAAAATTTAAAAACCCTGTTTGAGGAAAAATACCTTTGATTCCTATGTATCCCTTCAAACCAAATTTAGATGTTGGTCAAAGAAAGAGACCTGGGGTCAATGTATTTTAAGCATCTTAAATGGTGTGTGATCAGTTTTTTGAAGGCATTGGCCATAATTAAATATTTTTCAAGGTTTTTCTACTTCTAATCTTCATTTCTTCCATACCTAAAAAATCTTGCCTTGAAGTGCAAACTTAAGAGTGTTATCAGCAGTGATAAACTGATCAGTGCTATTGAGAGAGATTCCTTTGTCTAATAAAAAAAATTGGGTTGAACAGTTGCACTCAAACAAAAGTAGATAAACGGTAAAGAGGCTGCAACAGAGAGGCCTTGTAAATACATGCTTCTGGTTTGCAAGGGTTTCCAGGATTTTCACTTAACACACTAGAGTGCCCACTTTGCCCACAAGGTGCTTGACACTGTGCTGTAACACAGAGTCTTTGTGAAGAGAGAGCGATGCTTTGTGATTCCTGGATAGTAATAGCACTTTCTTATTTTTCAGCATGTGAAACAACAGTGGAGCTCTTATTTGACAGTGTTATACATTTAGGCTGTAAACCATACCTGGACAGTCAACGAGCTGCATGTTGGTGTCGCTATGAAGAAAAAATGGATCTTTAAAGAAGATGCTGCTGGGTGGTAACAGCAGATGAGAACAGAAGAACGTAACTTTGGACCGAGAACTGATGTTTTTAGCAGGAAGCTGCCTTATTTTTGTGAGAGGATTATTTTAAGACCTCATTTTGACACTAAAACTTCAAACTAAGGAAGAAAGTGGGAGAGGTTAACTTCCTAGACTGCTGCCTTAGTGCACCAAATTGTCTTGAACAGTGTCACAAGGAGGTGCATATTAAAGGGGGAGTTTTTAAGGGTCTGTACCTAAATTTTCACAACCATGTTTGCAAAAGAGATCATATATAAAATTCATTTATAAGGTATGCTCAGCATTATCTTATTTAGAAACATGGGGAATTATTCACTTAAGTGTATTTGTTTACTATAAAATTTAAAATATATGTTTATGCTTGGAAGGATCTGACTTTACTTTTCTCTGTTTTAATTAACTCATAATATGCTGTTTTTCTGTAGCCCATCAAGTGTTGGAATAAGTCATGCAGGACTAGTTATAAGGACAAGGTTTCTGTATCTATTTCTTACAAAATTGGAACCATTAGCTGGTGACTTCTTTGGAAATAAAACCAGGATACCTAAGTATTATGGAGTGTGTGTAGAAGGTGACATGAACAAAATTCAGAAGCAGAGCCATTCCCATCTTATGAACCACTCATAAGGCAAACGTTATATTTTGCTCTAACTGTTGCCTAAATTAGAGAAAAGATGCATTTAATGAGACAAACGAAAATTTGTTCCACAGACTTACCAGAGCATTATATACTGTTACGCTTTGGTGTTTATTCCCATGCACTTGCTCCTCAGAGTAGATTCTGGGATATTTAAAAAGACTATAAACTTTTACTAATAGTGGTCTTAATAAAAATTGTTCTTGATAATGTTGGTTTTTTTTTTTTTTAAGTCATTAACTGTGGAGTCAAAATGGATGGAAAAGGAGGATACAAAGAACTATCTTATACAGATTTCTCATTTACACTGAAAAAATTTCAACAGATGTTTAAGAGCAAATCCCAGAATCTTGACTGCTTCCGAAAATGTCTTGAGTATTGAAAGCTTTTCAGACCCGTAGAAACTCAGCTGTGTTCCTCTGTTGCTCTTTGCTTACCACTAGCTATTGACTTTCCCTAGCCAAGGATCTCAAGTCATAATATCTTTTTGGTACTTATGGCCGAAGTTATTAAGATAAACTGCTGGGAAAGTCAAAGCACCAGGTGAAGTGGTTCTTTTTAAGTTATTATAGGCAGAACTGGGCAGAAAGAAAAATACGGTCTGGAGAAAGGGCCACATTCCTAGTTCTGAATATATGTCATTGCTGAGAACCTAATAGCTTCCCAATCTGAGATGGGTCCCTTTATTAGACAAGGCAGGTGTACCCCTTTTGGCTAAGTGAGCAAACTAGGGGTTTTCTTGGCAACATTGACTGTCTCAAGAAGACACTCAGCTTATCTTTGTAAAATATTTTATATATAGAAATGCATAGAAGCTGTTTTTATATGTTCCGATACTTTTTTAAAAAACTTGTTACCTTGGAGTGATTTTAGATTTACAGGAAAGGTGCAAAGAGACTTCTGTATACTCCTTATCTCTAAATTAAAACTTTACAGAACCATGAAACATTTGTCAAGAAACAAACATAAATTACTATTAACTAAACTCCAGACTTTATTTGTATTGCACTGGTTTTTCCACTATGTCATTTGTCTTTTCCAGGATCCAGTCTAAGATGCCACATTGCTTTTAGTCATCATGTCTAGTTAGCCTTTGGTCTATGACAGTTCTTTAGTCTTTCCTTATTTTTCATAACCTTGACAGTTTTGAAGAATACTGATCAGGTGTTTTATAGAATGACCCTCAGTTTTGGTTTGTCTGATGTTTTCCTCATTATTGGATTTTTAGGCATAAAGCAAGAGAGGTGAAGGGTTCTTCTCATAGCCTTATCACTAGTTGAAAGCTGTCAACTGGATGTTGTGTTAACTCTGGATGCTTAATTGAGGTAGTGTCTGTTAGGTTTCTCCACTGTAAAATTTCTTTTTTTTTTCTTTGCATTATTCTGTTTGTTGGAAGCCAGTTACCAATCCAGTCTACGGGAGGTGAGAAGTAGGCAAGATCATGTTCCACTTCCTCAGAGGGGGAATATCTGTATGTAGTACATGGAATTCTTCTTTAAGATTTGCCCCTACCCCAGCCCCATCCCCATTTATTTACCCAGTTATTTATATCAGTGTGGACTCACGTATATTTCTTTTATACTTTGTGTAATATTTATTCACACTATTCCAACTTGGCCTACTGAGAGCTCAGTCATGTTGGCTCCTGTGTCCCATCCTTTTGATTTTTGATTTTTGAACACATCCATACTTAATGGCAAGAAAATAGGAAAGTTGCTTCAAGCTCATCTGGTTTATTCCCAGCCCAGCCCTAGAATCAGACTCTTCACTAAGGAGCCTGGCCCCTTGAGAATGGCTGGTAATGGAACTTAGAAACTGAGGTCTGGGCAGTAGATATGCTTGTTGATAATCGGCTGTCACTGCTTCTAGACCCTTCCAGGAAACAGAGCTAAGAAGTATGTTTGCATATTAACCCAAGGACATGTACATAACTAATTTTTTCCTTATGTGTGTATATATTAAGTTGAGCATGAACCCATACTGATGTTTTTACTTGAATCCTGTGTCACAGGGCATATATTTAGATTTTTTAAAGATGGTATTTTCCCTATCCATAAATAAATTAAAAGAACTAGCTTTTAGCAGCTCTTTGCAAGAAATATGACATTGCTTTTTTAAAATAATAAACTATATTGTCTTCAAATAATGCCTGTCTCTTTAAAACCTTTTGAAACACTTTTTCCAGTAACAGATATGACTATATTCATTTAGTAGGTAGAGAAACTGAAGCACAGAGAAGCTGTAATAAAGACACAATTGAAATATGAGGGCAAAAGCAAATTAAACGCATTTTCTGGAGCAGGCTTTCCTTCATAGACGTCTAGACTCGTCTAGACTAGTAATACTAATTAAAAAGTTGTTTTGTTAGCTTATAACTCATTCTTCCTAAAATGAACAGTGTTATTTCTGTCAGTATTTATAGAAATACAAGATTATCAGGAAGTCAAACTGATCATTAATTATTTTATCCTGGTAGGAAACAAAACATCTAACAAAGTAGAGACAGTGGAGTCTTTCTATAAAAAACAACTCTATTGAGTAGACTGATTTCAGTAAGTTTGGGAAATAGAATGAAACCTATTAGGTAAAATCCTTCCACATATATTACATTGCAGTGTTCAAAATTTACAGTATTACCTGCAGTATATTCATTCAAGTCTTTTATAATGACTGGCTATCATAATGGAAGTAGCCTCCTTAGTTTGCTGTTTCTCCTCACTGCTTAACCTTACAAACTAGCCCTCTGCCCAAATCATAAGTAAAAGGGCAAGAGTGAATCAGGCAACCTATAAATGAAAAATAACTAGTTATTAATAAAAATCAAAATGGATCAGTTGTGTCTTTGCATACAAGCCACAGTGATGTTACGTTTTTTTGCCTCAGCATTATTAGGTTTTCAAAACATCCTGTAAAGTCTCCTTTGATAACTTCACAAACATTTCTTTGTCAACTGTCAATTAAGTGTAGGAGATAGAATGATAGAACTATGTTATTTCTATGATTCATAGAGGAAAAAAGATTTGGTGGAGTAAAAACTGGAAAAAGACCAAAATTTGTTTTAGAATTATCTCTGAATTAATTTCATTCCATATATTTCATTCCTAGGATAGATGACAGTTGGCTTAGAGTTTTTCATTTCAGTAAACTCCATAAAAGTGACTGTTCATATACAGGAAGAATCAAACCATCCTGTCAGTTAACTTTTGGTTGTTAGTGTATCTTAATTATTTTAATAGTAAGGGTTTGTTTTGGGTTCTTTTTCTCTTCTTTGAGAAGGAAGTGAATACTCAGTAGACTTCTGATTAGTCTTATGTCCGTGGTTCTCACACGACATGAGAATCACTGGAAGGCTTGTTAAAACCCACAGCTAGACCCCACTCCAAGTTCCTCCTCATTCAGTGAAGTCTGATTCTGAAGGCTTTTAGACTAGAGTTTGCCTGTCTGTTAAGTTCCCAGATGACAATGTTATTTCTGGTTCAGAGGCCACAGTTTGAGAACTGGTCTAGGTAATTTTCAGTAGCTAAAAATAACATGTACTGAAAGTTTTTTGTAGGCTGGGTATTTACCTAGGAGTTTGGCAGTTACTGCCTTAAAGACTGTTGAGTAAGTTTGGTACCCAATTTACAGAGAAGAATTTGAAGATGGGTGAGATTAAATTGTATTACTTGTCCAATGTATCACAGCTAATAAAATGGTGGAGTCAAGATTAGAACCCAGGCAGCCTATTTCCCAATCCCAGGCACTTAACAATTTACGGGGATGGCGGGGGGGATAGCTATTGTTTTAAAAGGCTAAAATCACCTTGGTAATTCTGAAATATCTCAAAATGCTTTGTGTTTATATATCTTAAGGTAGACAAAATCTTAACTTTAAAATTTATAACCACATACACTATAAAAGTAATAGGATATCTAGGTCTGATATTCTGAGGTAAGATAGAGGAGAAAAGTTCATTTGCTCCTTTTAGGTAGTGGAAAGTCAGGCCATGGGGGTTCCCTGGAAGTGTTTTCAAGACTCAAGCAGAGGAAACTGAAAATTAGGCAAGGTAACAGAAAGCCCTGGTGGTCGATCAATAAAGTGCAGTGCAGATGCTGAAACCCTGTGTCTCATTCAGTGTATATCGACTGATCACCTCCTATATGTTAAGCAATTGGGCTGGGTAATAGGGAAACTGGAGGAAGCCTAATCCTGCTCCCAATCCTAGTAAAAATAATTTGAGCTCTTAAAAAGCTAGGCACTGTTTTGAGTACAGTATTTTAACCACATTGAATCATCACAACAACTATATGAGATTGGTGTTCTATGCCTGCAGAATAAGTTGCTAAGAATGATTTCTGAAATACTCCGTGCATACAGTGAAATGAATAGTGAATGGTGTGGAATAAAGTTCTCTCCTTTGATGGCACATTCTCTTTAATGACCAAGCAAAACTGAGCCACAAGCACATGTAGGAAAAGTTATCAAGTTAGATTTTATTCTTCTCTCCCAAAACAATAGGGTAATATTTATAGAAAATGGATCTCTTATACAGGCATTCTTCATTTTATTGTGCTTAATAGATAATGCATTTTTTATAAAATGAGGGTTCAAAACTGCAGTGGAGGAGTGCCTGCAGATGCGACTGAATTTCTGCAGTCTCATGATAAAAACGAACGGATGGATGAACAAAGAAAGTGGTTTCTTGAGATGGAAGCTACACCTGGTGAAGATGCCAGTGGGATTGTTGAAATAACAGTGAAAGATTTAGAATATGACAAATTTAGCTGATAAAGCAGAAGCAGGGTTTGAGAGGATTGACTCCAATTTTGGAAAGTTCTGTGGATAAAATGCTATCAAACAGTATCGCATGCTACAGAAGTTTTTTGTGAAAGGAAGAGTCAATCCATATGGCAGATAAGTTGTTTAAAGAAATTGCCACAGCCACCACACCTTCAGCAGCCACCACCCTGATCAGTCAGCAGCCATCAACATAGAGGCAAGACTCTCCACGAGCAACCAGGTTAGGACTTGCTAAAAGCTTAGATGGTTAGCATTTTTTAGCAGTATAGTTGTTCTTAAATTAAGGTATGTACATGTTTTTAGACATAATGCTATATTGTACACTTAATACACTATAGTGTAAACATTTACATGCACTGGGAAACCAGAAAATTCGTTTGGCTCCCTTTAGAGTGCTATTTGCTTTATATTGCAGTGGTTTGGAACCAACCTGCAATTTCAACAAGGTATACACGTACTCATTTCTTAAGCATGCTTTATATATACTTATTTTAATGTAATTGAAATGGTGCCTCTGCATATTTTTTTCCTAGTCTTAAATTGGTTACTTTTTAAATGACAAGGTCCAGGGTAGTTACAATAGATGATGCTATTTTTTCATCCAGTCTTAAAGAATTGTTCATTGAAGAAAATGTACACAATAGCCAACTACTCAAGGAGTTCGATTAAATGCACCACTGAGTGCCCCTTGGCACGGATTAGCACCCTGTTTCGGCAGTATTTTATGAGAAAGGGCTACAATGCTCTAGCTCAAGAAAAGCCAGTCTGTAGACTCCGAAGTTCTACCTCCGAGTATCCGCATGATTCCCTCCCCAAATCCTGGAATTGCCTCTAGTTTATTTTGGTCGAATGCCCGCGTTTAAAATAAATTATTACAAGTCCTAGAAGATGACGTGCACGGGGAGAAAGGACTACAAAGTGAACAGTAAAACAACACTTCTCCACCCGAGGGAGTCGGGAACGGCGAGCCCTGGGGGCGGGGTCTGCGCGAGCCTCGGCTCACCGCAGGTGGTCTGGGACGGCCCAGCCCGGCTCCGCCCTTGCACCTCGGGGCGGCAACCAGCAGCTCCCGAGGGCGGGTCCGTCGCTCCAGGCGCCGGGCGGACGGGAGAGGAAAAAGCCCGGGGGCCGCGGCGGGCGCGGGGCGGGGCGCGGGCGGACGAAGGGGCGGAGGCTGCGGGCCCCAGGCCTCAGGAAGCGGAGGCCGCAGCGTGGGGACGCGATGAGCTGGGCGCGGGGCTTCGGCGGGGCTCAGCCTGCAGGTAGGTGGGGCGTTCGGCGCGCTCCGGGCGGGGGCGCGCGCTCCTCCCGCTTCGCTGGACGGCCGGAAGCAGTTTCTGCGCTTGGAGGGACGTGCTCGGGCCCAGTGGGGGGCAGCTGAGCCCTTCGGCCCAGAAAAGCCACTCGGGGGCCTCGCCGTCGTCTCCTTGCGGGGCCGAGGCGGGGCGTTGCCCGGCCGCCCTTGTCCTCCGGGCGGTAATTTCTTACCAGGCGTCAGGGCCATTGAAACTTTAAAAGACCTGCGGGGCCGGTCCTGGTGTTCCCGGCGCTTGGTTATATGAAAGTTGACTTACGAAGGCTGGAGTTTGTTTTGTGTTCTCACTTCCAAGCAAAGGTAGAAAGAAGCGGCTGCACGCAGTGCCAGCGGAAGTCCAGGCTGAGGCGCCGGGGGCGCCCGGACTATCCCGGACCAAGCCCTGCTGAGGCAGGCTTTGCAGCTGCGGTGTCCCTTGCAGCTGCGGTGTCCCTCCTGCATCCAAGAGACCTGCCGCTGTGTGGGGGTTTGAGTTAAAACCGCAACATCTTTCTCTACGGAATTACAGAATAACTGCTAAACGCGTATTTTGCAACGTTCCTCCCTGTCACTGGTTAACTATAGCACTGATGAGGTTTAGAAACTCCAACCCCGGCCACAGTTCTAAAAAACGTGTTTGGGGGAGGTTGAAACTCTAGCAGTCGATGCAGAGTGCCTTTATTTCAGAGCTTTTTATTCTTTATTCTGTGCTGCACAAAATATGCTTTGCCCCAGAGACAGGTTGTAGAAGTCACCGTGGTCGTGCAGGGAGGACCGTGGCCTGGGCGGACAGTGCAGGGTCCAGTGGCCATTTACATTTTGAACCAGGGAGGAGGGGCGGGAAGCCAGGGTCTGGTCCAGGAGGCTTAACCAAAAGCCAGGGCACTTCTCCCTCCATTTTTTATTACATACTTTTTCTCTTGCTACCTGCTCCCTTCCTTTTCTTTCTCCACACCCTTTTTCTAGTGTGTTCCAGGCTGGACATGGGTTACAGATTGCTGATAGGGAATACAGGTAGGTCTTTCTGGATACTGCAGTTAATGAAGACCATGATAGTAGACGCTGAAGAGGTTTGGAGAAATGAACACTAAGTTAAAAAAGGCAGCTGATCTCTCCCTGCTGGGAGGAGGTTTCGCGTGGTGATGGGGCGAGAGTACAGAGATTATGGAATCGATAGGCAGGTCTGCTTTCACTCCCAACTCTACTGTGTTGACCTTGGACCAGCCGGTTTCACTTTGTCTCCCTGCCTCACTGGGCTGTGGAGCTGAGATAAAAATTGTATCTACACTGCCAGGCCATCAAGGAATGGTGGCTGGTCGGATTATCTGGAGGGATTATCAAATCAAGGTGAGGAGAAAAAAGGAGCAGAGATGCTGGTTGCGTTATGGTGGAAAGGAGAATTGTTGAAATCAGAGGCAAGTAGAAGTCAAGAGTCAGGTTATATGACGGACCCAATTTTTATAAATAGATTGCAGATAAATAGGAGTTTGTAAATCTGTTTCATAGGGTGTCTCCTTTATTAAAATTTGTTTTCTTCATGTAAACAGAGCCATTTACCCTTGTAGCCAGTTTATTTGTATTTGTACAGTATAAGGTTACTTGTTTAAAGTGCACCCTTCCTGAAAGCTTGTCTGCTTGAGACATTTAGTTCCATGACCAGAACAGAATTATGATGTATTATTATCCCTGGAATCTGGGTAAAATTTATCAACTTCAGCAAAGTATTAAAACTTAGGTTCTCATGTCTGGCTTTAGAGCTTTCTGTTCTGATTCAACAAATCGCTAGGATAGAAAGGCAGCTGCACCTGGTCACTAATTAGCAGGGTGTACATTTATATTTGAGTGAAGGCTAGAGCCAGCAGAAACCAGGGCTAACACTTTCAGAGTCCCGTTTCTACATCCACAGAATTAACAGTAACAACACACTTCTTAAAAATCCCTCTCTGAGGTTGTCATATCTATTAACTTTGAAACTGAATGCCGTTTTAAATACATTATCTTGAGCTATTTATAACTAGCTGTCATCCCCAAATCTATCTGTCTTGAGTAAGCTGAAGGCAATAGTGGAGACAACTGAAATGGACCCTGAACTACATGGAGCAGGAAGACCTGTGAAGTTCCTTTCTTAGACTATGAAAACAAAGTTTAATGACCTAGTTGGTGTACATTTCCACTGCTTTCACCCTCAGAGACTTTGGTTTGGTGAGCAGCCACTTGGCACAGCTTCTGCTGGGTACGTGTCTGGGTACGTGTCAAGCTGCCTTAGGCTCACTAGAAAATACGGTGCAGAAGCTGCAAGAGGTGAGCAGCCAGGTCAGCTACTACTACTTTGTGTGTCATAGAGGCAACTTGGTGTTTTCCAACCTGTGCAGGTTTTTAGAGAGTGAAGTAGGTGATTGGCTTTCAGATTTGGATTTATTGTGTTTAGTTTGGGTTATTCACTTTCTTTATAGTATAATTGGTTTAAGGATAAGGAGGTAATGTTATTAAAAGGAGGTAGATCCTTACACACTTTTGAAAATGGAAGAAAAATCTCTGTACTGCCTTGGTAGAGCAGTGTGTGGAGTAGGAAATACCCGTGTTAGAGCGGAGTGAGCACTTCTCAGGATTCACAGTAGAGCAGTGGTGTGTGGAGTAGGAAGCATCCGGGTATCTCAGTGTACGGACTGGGAAGTGTTCCAGTATTAAATGTGTGGAGTGGAAGTATTCTGGGCAGAGCAGGTCGTGGAGCAGGAAGAAGACTCGAAGTATGTTGGGTAGAACAGTGCGTGGAATCGGAGATTTCCCACTTAGAACAATTTGGAGTAGGATGTATCCAGAGTGGACCATGGTGTGGAATAGGAGGTGTCCCCAGTAAAACACTGTGTGAAGTACAAAGTGTTCATGTGGAACAGCATGTGGATTAGTAAGTATCCTGGCAGAATAGTGTGTGGCCAGTAAGCGTCCCCGCGAGAGCAGAGTGGGGAGTAGGAAGTGTTCCAGGTCGGGTAGTTTGTGGAGGAAAAGACTAAGAAGTATACCAGTGGAACAGCGTGTGGACTGGGTAGTGCCCTGGGAGAGCCATGTATAGTGGGAAGTGTTCCTGCTGGCACAGTGTGTGGAGGAGGGAGTGTCTGGCACAGCCGTATGCGGTGTATGAAGTATCCAGGGTAGACCATCAGTGTGTGGACTTGAAGCATTCACAGTAGAGCGGTATGCTCCAGGGAGTAGCGCCCCGTGCGATGTGTGGAGAGGGAGTATCCTCGGGAAGCAGAGGGCCAGGTAGGAAGGCTCCCCAATAGAGTAGCGTGTGGTGTGGGCAATATCCCGATAGTCCTGTGTGTGGAGAAGGAAGCACTGCCCATAGAGCAGTGTGTGGTGCAGGAATGCCCCTGGTGGAGCAGTTGTGGAGCACGCTGTAGTCTGACTGAGCAGTGTGTGGAGTAGGAAGGATATCAAGGATCTCTGGTGGAGCAGGGTGAGGGGTAGGACACAGCAGTGTGTGTATCAGGAATTCCTGGGGGAGAACAGTGTGTGGGGCGGGCAGGATTCCGGTGTATGGCATGCGGGGAGGTGCTGTCCTTGGTAGACAGTGTGCAGCAGGGAGTGTCCCGTCGGTGCAGTGTGTGGGATGGGAATGCTCCTGGGGGTGAGGGTGAGTGGGAATATCAGGAGCAGGAAGTACCCCTGGTGCTGTAGCGTGAGGAGTGGGAAGCATGCTGTAGAACAGGGATAGGAGCAGGAAGTGCCCCTGGTAGAGCAGGCCGGGCTCCAGAGCACATCTCCCGTGGGCAGTGTGTGGAGGAGGAGGTGTCCCCAAAGGGCAGGGCTGAGTAGTAACCCAGAGAGAGCAGCGTGCGGAGTAGGAAGTATCCTGGTAGAGCTTTTGTGGAGGAGTAGGCTGCGTCTGGGGTTGGGCTGTGTGTGGAGATGGAGTGTCTAGGTAGAGCGGTTGATGGGCGGAAGTATCCCTGGTAGAGCAGGGCGGCAGAGTGTTTTGGTGCAGCCATGTATGGAGTGGGAAGGAAACCCTGGTATAGTTGGGAGGATGCATTAAGAGAGGCTGCTTTTGACTTCTCATCTTTGATGTGAAAGTCACCTCATTAAAAATACAGGATTCTGATTCTATAAATCTAGGTTAGTATCTAGGAATTTTCCATTTCATCACCCAGGCCAGTAATTGCAAAATATTGAAAGTGATTTAGTGCCTAAGGGACAGGGGAACGCCTTCGGTCTAAATGCTGGTGAATTCCAGGAGGGAAGGCTGGAAGTGACTGGCGCAGGGCGCTGGAGTTGGAATTCCCACCCACCCTCACTCCCAGGTGGACTTCCGTCAGCAAGCAGCCACGAGGTGAGAATGGTCAGGCATCAGGGAGAGACTTTCTCAGGAGAGACGGGAGCACAGCCCTCTCGGCTAGGAGGTGATGTGTAGGCGTCTACCTTCACAGTCTGTCATGCTTCCTTCAAAGACCTCAGCTGCGAGTCGTGTCTTGCTATAGTTAATATTTGTTTATTCATTACTGTCTCCCCCCGTAAGCTACAAAGTTTATCAGGTAAAAACAGATTCGTGGGTATATGGACCCTTATTGTAGAAAATACTAGACTTACTGTGCTGTCCAATACAGAAGCCACCGGCCACATAATCGTTATCTGAATTAAATGAACTTAAATAAAAATTAAGTTCTACAGCTTCACTAGCCAGTTTTCAAGAGTTCAGCAGCCACCATGTGGCCAGTGGCTATCAGATGGGACAGCACAGCTAAGGAACAATTCCATCACCCCGGAAAGTTCTACTGCACAGCACAGTCCTAGGGAATAGAGAGGGATTCAGTGAAAGGTTGTCTGGAGGGAGGGGATGTCCAATTGCAGGTCAGGAGCACAAGGTCCCCATTATAGGGTTATATGTACAAACCTGTCATTCAGGAGATCCCAAATCTAAGCCTTTGCCCTCCCCTTCCCTTCCTCCACCCAAACTTCAACTTCTTGTAGGTTAGTAGGGTAATCCAGTATTAACCACTCTTTTTCTGGTTCTTCTGTATGACTTACTTTCCTGTTTCAGAGAATATTTGCAAAGACATCTTCTGCAAACAAAACAATTGGTTTTTTTCGTTTGAGCTCTGTAATCACAAAACTATGTTATGCTAGGCATATTTTGCCATGCATGTGTTCGCCTCATATTTTCTACATTCCTTATAATATTATTTGTTATTTTGCAGGTAAGAACTGGGGGTTGAGAAAGAACTGTTAACAGTTCATTTATTAGTAAGCAGTTTCTCTTCCTTTTCCCTTACCCCTTCTTTTCATATACTTTCACTTTTAAAGTAACCAAAACAGAAAGGTCATAGTATATGGGAGGCAAAGGCAGCTGGGGGAGTTTCTGCTATTTTACTACCATATATCATAAAGTAAATTAACAAGAATCAACTTCCTTTAATAGGTGAGGAACAAAACGTGACAGAAACAGATGCCTTCTTTAAGAGGTAAAAAATTGCTCTTTTCTTGCTGGGTCCGCTTGCTGGGGTGGTCATGATTAGCCTATAGAAATCAAAGCGAGAAGGGGACCTGAGAACAGGAAAGTAGCTGAGTGGGTCAGGCTTTAGCTTTTGGAGGTGATGTGTAGAAAGCAGGTTAGCTGCTGACCCTGGTTGTGAATGGACAGAGCAATGTTCAAAGTATCTGGTAACTTGTGTGGCCTGGGCCCTAGAGCTGGAGCCTGGGCCAAGCCACTGCCCTTAGTTGCTGGACTCTGGAGATGTGGGGAAAGACAGCCATGGGAGGGATCGGGGGTTGGGGTGCTGAGGAGGGCTGCTGTTTGCCAGTTGGTACAGAAATAGCCTTACCAGTCTGGCTGTGAGGCTTTCCCAGTACACAGCAGCCTCGCAGACATGAAGAGGTGCCAGATCCCCGTCTCCATGCTGACCTTGGGCTTGGCGGAGCTCATATTTAATATGACTTAAAAATGACCAATTTTTATTAACAGTGAAAGGTTCGATCCAGCAGAAAAGTACAAAATGGACCACAAGAGGAGAGGAGTTGCTTTAATCTTCAATCACGAGAGGTTCTTCTGGCACTTAACACTGCCGGAAAGAAGGGGCACCAGTGCAGACAGAGACAATCTTCAGCGCAGGTAGTAGCTTTATTCACATGTTGAGGTGATGAGATACGTAAGTGGTGACCATTTATCAATACTTGTGTACACTGATACAGTACCTGAGCAAGGGTATTTGAGGACTAGCCTCACCTGGGTACAGCCTCCCTTAAGAACTTGGCCGAGTTTTCCTCCTAACTCTGTTCTATTAAATGTGAACAGACTTTTCACTATTAAAAATACATCTGCAGAGATGGCGATATTCTAACTTGAATCGGTTACCATTATGAGTAAATCCTTTCCTACCATGGATGATCAAGGAAAACCATCACTGTCATATTTGATTTTGCTTTCTTAAAGAAAAGTCTATTTATTTATATGTCATAAAAACATATATATTCCTTAACTAGGGGTATGTGACAACTTTGAATTGCCCATAAGCTAATATCCAATTTATCAACAGGTTTTCAGACCTAGGATTTGAAGTGAAATGCTTTAATGATCTTAGAGCAGAAGAACTACTACTCAAAATTCATGAAGGTTAGTATTTTCCTATTCATCTTCCTCTGATAGAACTGAGTACTTTAATTATCCTGTCTATAAAGACAGGTCTAAATATTAACTTACTAAAAAGTCAGTTAATTTGTCAATTAATTTAGCAGGGGTTATAGGTTTGGATTGTGCCTCTCTGTTTTATTACCTACCAGATTTACAAACCCTTACAAAGTATTGTCTCCAGAACTTATATTTATCATACCAGTAGTTACAGTCTGTTACTTAGAAATGAATGAAACGGTCTTTTCATTTTGCAATTAAAAAAGTCTAAAATGCAAATACTCGTAATGCTGGACAGTCATTTTTTTATTTCTTCCAACCCAGGTTTTTTACTGGCTTCAAAATACTCTTGATTTACATACATTCTCTCTTATTTTCTACATTACTATGTAGTAGGAATTTTAACAACTTGTGTATATCATAATAATCAGTACATGCCTTAGATTTTCAAATCTTTTGCCAATGGACTACTATTTACATAATTGTTCACATTTTCTTTGGAGCTCTTGACATTTTTTTCAGGTGAACAACATAAAGATTAGATATTTGTATGCACTACAAAATGATCATATTAAGTGTAGTTTTCTGTCACTACACAGTTTTTTTTTTTCTTGTACTAAGGACCTTTTTTTGGACTTTTTTTTTCTCCCCCTCCCCTCCCCTGTACTAAGGACTTTTAAGATGTACTCTTAGCAACTTTCTAATATGCAATTCCGTATTATTAACTGTAGTCACCATACTGTGCGTTACATTCCCAGGTCTATTTACGTAATTGTTCACATTTTCTTTGGAGCTCTTGACATTTTTTTCAGGTGAACAACAAAGATTAGATATTTGTATGCACTACAAAATGATCATATTAAGTGTAGTTTTCTGTCACTACACAGTTTTTTTTTTTCTTGTACTAAGGACCTTTTTTTGGACTTTTTTTTTCTCCCCCTCCCCTCCCCTGTACTAAGGACTTTTAAGATGTACTCTTAGCAACTTTCTAATATGCAATTCCGTATTATTAACTGTAGTCACCATACTGTGCGTTACATTCCCAGGACTGGCTTTATAACTGGAAGTTTGTATCTTTTCATCTTTTACCCATCAGCAACTACCAATCTGTTCTCTGTATCTATAAACTTGTTTTTGTGTTTGGTTGGTTTAGATTCCACATGTGAGATTACATGATGTTTGTCTCATTTTACTTAGCATAACACCCTCTAGGCCATCCATAGTGTCTCAAACAGTAAGATTTCATTCTATGGCTGTGTACTATTCCACTGTATGTATTCTATACCACATCTTCATCCATCAGTGGGGACTTAGGTTGTTTCTGTACCTTGGTTATTGTAAATAATGCTGCAGTGAAGGGGTGTGTGTGTGCAGATATCTTTTTGAATTAGCATTTTCATTTTCTTTGGATAAATGCCCCAAAGTGGCAATTGTTGGATCATATGGTAGTTCTATTTTTAATTTTTTGAGGGACCTCCATGTCAGAGCTTTTCTTTAATCTGTAAATCACTTTAACTGGCTGCTTCACAGGTTTCCTACTTTATGCATAAGTTTTGGAGGACATCAGTATCATGTCTTCTATTCTGTTGGAGGTGCAGCAACACATCAGGAGTTACTAAATAGTAATTTCTGGTCTTTCCAGTCTGCTCTAAGAAGCCCTCTGCTGATCCAAAGAAACTGTTATTTTCAAAATGATTTGGATTAAAAGGGTTCTCTATAATAATCCCATGTTTTCCATGTCATCATTCTATATTTTAGAAGAGCTAATGAAAACTGTTCAAACTTGATTACTGTGAGGTCTAATAATTTGGATTTAAAAAAATTAGGTACAGTGTGGTGTTACTGTTTCATTACAGCTTAAAGTAAGTTGTTTCATTAGACATTTTATATTTAACATTTTCTCCCAAACATATGCATGTAACTTTTAGTATAAAGTGAATTTTTATATGTAATCATCCTATTTTCATTTCTATGTGAATTCATTTCATTTCTATGTGAATTTTGGGGGGCTTTTGTAGCATCAACCTCTAGCCACACAGATGCCGATTGCTTTTTATGTGTTTTCCTGAGTCATGGTGAAGGCAGTCACGTTTATGCATATGATGCCAAAATTGAAATTCAGACATTGACTGGACTGTTCAAAGGAGACAAGTGTCAAAGTCTGGTTGGAAAACCTAAGATATTTATCATTCAGGTAAGACTGATGATGTTATAATCCTAATTATAAAGTCCATGGTTCTGTATGTGTGATTATAAATAACTAAAGCCAATTTCAGAAGTACCTTTTTCTAATAATTAGAAAGGCCCTTTTTGAATCCCAGCCAATCAGAGTTGTAATTTGAGCTATCAGGAATAACTCTTTCTTAACATAAAGAATAGTAAAGGTACTAGGTATCTAGACTCAAAATATCTGAAGTCCTACTCCCTGGCCCAGCCCAGTGGTGAGGCATAGGCACCAGAGAAGGCATCTGCTGAATGAAGTGAGCAGCGCCAGGCAGCAGGCAGCCTTTTCCAGACGAGGGCAGCTCTTTGAGAGCTGAAGCGTGTGAGCCACTGAGAAGCGTGCTGGCATGGAGTTCACGCCCTGGCTTCAGCTTTTCACATTTCCATTAAAGCAAGATTCAGTTTCTCTCCTGACAAATCGGTATTAGGGATAAAAACACTTTTTAGCCTGAAAAACATGAGTTAGTACATTAGTAAGGATTTTGAACAGAAAAGAGAATTCCTGATGTTCTGATTCTGTATTTCCACGAGTGGCATGGAGGACACACCCACACTTCACATCCTGCCGTAAAGCCTTGAAGGAGGGAGCAAAGGGGTGGAGGGATGTCCTTAAGAACAGCTTTCTTGCTGGGACAGCTGGGACAGCGGCACTGGGGTGTCCATGGGACATGTAGTTGACAGACAACCTAGGTTGGAAAAAAAACTGGGTAGTAATAAGGTGCTGGCTGGTGCTGGAAGCCACGGGAGTAGATGAGTTGGCCCGCATCAAGGATAGCTTGAAAAACAAGGGCAAAACAGAACTGAGGGACACTAATGAGGCATAAGCTGATGAAAGATACTGAGGAAGCTGACCCAGAGGAAAAGCAGCAGCAGGAAATACAGTGAGAGAGGAGTGGCTGGCACTGTCAAAGGTCAGAAAATCAGAAATAACTAATGAGCTGCTGTGGCCAAGTTATTTTATTTCTCAACACCTCAGCTGCTTCATCTGTGAAATGGGGATAAAACAGCACTGCCTCGGGGGACAGTTGTGAGGATAAAACTAACCAATGAGAAGCACTTAGCACAGGGCCCGGCACACGGCAAACTCGGTACAGGCTCCCATTCCCACTGCAGCTGGTCTGGCAACAAGGGTGTCAGAGCCCAGGTGTTCTATAGGACACTGAGGAAGACAGTGGACAATGAGCCTGATATATTAAGTAAGGTTAAAATCTCCCTGTTAAATGGGGTATTAGGTGTCTTCTATTTATCTGATAACTGAAGTCACTCAGGACTTGTTTCTTTTAAAGTTTATTCTTTAACTACTTCAGAATGCTGGATGCATTTATAATACAACAGAATCTTGTTAGGTTACTGTGGTGCTTGCTAGGGCTCCATAACAAACTACTACAGGTGGGGTGGCTTAACCAACAGAAATTAACTTTCTCACAGTTCTGGAGGTTAGAAGTTTGAGAGGAAGGCGTCAGCAGGGTGGGTTTCCTATAAGGCCTCTCCTGGCTTTCGGGTAGGTCTCGTCCTAGTGCATGTCAGTGTCCTAGTCTCTTACAAGGACACAGTCATAGTAGATAGGGCCCACCTACATGACCCATTTTATAATAATTACCTCTTCAAAGGCCATATCTCCAGATATAGTCATATTTTGGGGGTTGGGGTTTGTCTGTACTTGGGAGATAAAATCTCAAGTTTTTTTTTAAGGTATCATTGATATACAATCTTACGATGGTTTCACATAAACAACACAGTGGCAAATACAGTCATATTTCAGATACTGGGGGTTAGGACTTGAACAGATAAATTCAACCCATAATTGTCATAGAAGAGTAGGCGTTAATGTTAGCCTTTGAGTCAGAATTAGTGGATAAGAACTTAAGAGCTCACTTTAAAGCAGGAGAAGGAAGGACGGACACTAACAGATGTCTTCTCAGGTCAGATGGTGTCATTTTGACCCTAGCAATGTATGGCAGCAGATTGGCAAGCGAAGTCCAATTTCAGAATATATTACCTGATTAAATAGAAACACATTCTATGGCTTTTTTTTTTAAAGAAAAGTAGGGTCGTGGTGCTGTGAAGTTTAATCCCACAGCAGCTTTCTCCTCTACAGTGTGCCTTTCAGTCAACATAATTTGGTGTATAGTTGACAATGCCAATTTTTTTAAAACTTGAAAGAATGTAAGTAGGTTAAAAAAATTGCCCTCTTTAGTCTTCTGTAAACCTGAACACTTTGTTTTTGAAACTCCTCTAAAGTGGTTTCTGTGATGTTGATATGAAGGCATAACTGAATTATACATTTGCTGTAAACAGTGGGGAAAGAAAGTAAAAGGTGGTTTTCCTCTTCATGTCATAGGCGTGTCGGGGAAACCAGCACGATGTGCCTGTCATTCCTTTGGATGCCGTGGATCACCAGACAGACAAGGGGGAGGCCAATGTCACCGAGGTGGACGCGGCCTCCGTTCACACGCTGCCTGCAGGAGCAGACTTCCTCATGTGCTACTCCGTTGCAGAAGGTGTGTGGGTGTTTGCTACAAACGTATCGTTGACCTCCTTGGCTAAGTTCCTCTGAGTTGCACCTTGGCTTGATTTGGGTTGGGTTTTTCTATTGGGACATGGTGATTTGGTCCTGAAGCTCAGACGCTGAGAATGGATTTCTTTGACCACATGACACAGTGGTAAATGAAAATACCTTGTAGGAAAGTCATTCATTGAGAACTGTTAAGTAGAGCTACAAGTCTACAAGTTGAATATCAGCAGCCTATCAATTACTGCTGGTAGTGGTGTCACTGTGATAATATTCATGGAGAGCTCTGTTGAAAAATATTTTGATGACATTTGTTCTTTGCTCTTGCAGTAAATTTGTTTTTCTTTCTGATCTTATCTCTAAAAATAATTGCCTGACTAGTACTAACTTTGGAATTTTTAGGACATGGAGTACATTACATAGGATTAACCCCATTTATAGAACTATATAGAATTAATCCCCTTTCCCACATGAGAGAGTAGCCAGCAAAGCAGAATGTAAAAACTATTGTGGACATATTTTAGTTTTCTCCAAGGATTTGTGACAACTTATACTCTAATAGTAAATTATAAAGGCTTTTCAGCCACAGAAACTGAAAGCCAGAAAACGTCAGTGTCCTTTTCTTCCTCTTTTTTAAGGTTATTATTCTCATCGGGAAACTGTGAATGGCTCATGGTACATTCAAGATTTGTGTGAGATGCTGGGAAAATTTGGTTCCACCTTAGAGTTCACAGAACTCCTCACACTGGTGAACAGGAAAGTTTCTCAACGCCGAGTGGACTTCTGCAGAGACCCAAGTGCAGTTGGAAAGAAGCAGGTTCCCTGCTTTGCCTCAATGCTAACAAAAAAGCTGCATTTCTTCCCCAAATCTACATGATAGGGGCTATTACATTTTCTGTATCTGTACTGAAAATAGATTTCCCTTTTTATACAAATATCACTAGGGTAAAGCTTATGATACCAATTTAAAATGTTCTAAGGTTAAGGAGAGAACTTTTTAAAAAAATAGTTCATACTGGACATGGTAAAAGGGTTTGATACATATAGAACCAAAATCCTCAGGGAATCTGTAAATAAAAATCCACAGGCATCTGTAATACTTGATTTTTATAGTAAATTGCAGTTACTCAAAATATCTGGCCAATTTAACTTGTAATTTGTGAAGTTTTTTATACAAGTGTATGTGTTTAAAGGCTTTTGAAACCCAAAAATTAAGTTGTTTTCCCTAATACTTGAAATTCATGTTTCATTAAATTTTTCTAATTCACATTCTTAGTAGACTTATTTCATCATAAAAGTTCATCTACATGGAGGGGGGAGAAAGGTGGCAGATGGGAAGGCCAGCCAGAAACCTCCTCTGACACACACCAAGGGGGCAACTACAGCAAATACAGCCAACCCTGAAAATGACCTGAATTCTGCAGAACAGACCACCTACACCTGGGGAAGAGAAGGGTAAAGTGGCAGAGCCACAATCAAACAGAACTCCAGCCCTTCCCCGATCCCAGCTCACAGATGAGAGGAAGAGGAATCAAGAAGTGAGGAGATAGGTGCTCAGGAAAGGCACACCTGGCTCTGGAGATCTTCCCTGGGAACACAAGTCCGCACTTGATTGGGTTCTGGTGATTGGCAGAACTGGACACTAGGGATGGCTGGAACACCGAGACTCCAGCCGCTTGTGGAGGATAGGTGTACTCTACCAGTCCTGAGACCCAAAGCAGAGGCAGCAGGACAGGTGCCAGAGGACCAAGGGTTGGATGGAGCTCTATCCACAGGAGGAAGGGCAGGTAGATGACAGTTCCCCAGCCTCCCTCAGCCCAACATGCCAGACACTTGGAGAAGCCCCAAATGGTCCATCCACCCTGACAGTGGCTCAGCCCCGAGGTGCTTTCCTGTGCACCTGGGTGCCCCAGCAGTGTCAGACTTTGCTGCCTGGAAGGCAAAGGGAGACTTTTCCAGTTTTCATGGCCGTCTGAGTCCAACTTGGGAGGTACCTGCAGGAGCCTCCTGTGAGCTCTCCCTCCTAGCAGGTAGCTCAGCCTAATGCTGGCTACCCCTCTGCATGCCTGCACACTCTGCCACCATGTGACTCATTGCACCATGTACTCATCTGCCCCAAAGCCCTGTGACCCTCATGCCTACCTGACTGCCCTGCCCACCCTGTTAACCCAGCAGCACCACCATCGCTACAGGGCAGGCAGAGGATGGCCCCACCCACAACAATCCCAGCAGAAGCCACTGCTCTGGTCACAAAGGACCAGCCGAGACAAACAGCTGACCTTAGACCACTGCCGGTAGACAGAAATGCAGCCCTGCTATAGCCCACCAACAGCAACAGGGTCTCCACAGCAAAGGAGAATCAGGCACTGGAAAGTAAAGTCGAGCTTCTGGGCACCACAGGACACCTTCTTCATAAAGCCATTACTCTAGACCAGGAAACACAGCAGAGCCATCTAATACAAAGGAAGAAACAAACCCTGACCAAATGAGGAGGAAGAGAATATGTTCCAAACAGACTACAGGATAAGACACCACAAAAAAGGGCTAAATGAAATGGAGATCACCAATCTGTGGATAAAGATTTCAAAGTCAGTCATAAATATGCTCACCGATTTGTGGAAAAGTATTGACGATTTCAGGGAGGAACTTCAACAAAGAGAAGTTGAAAAACAGCCTCTCAGAGCTGAAGAATATCTAAAATGAAAAATACAATGAAGCAAATGAATAACAGATTGCTGCAGGTACAGGAGACAGTCAATGAGATGGAAATTAGAGAACAGTAAGAAAAATAATGAAGCTGAGGAATAGGGAGAAAACAGAATCTCTAGGAATGAAAGAATAAGAGAGCTGTGTGACCAATCCAAATGAAACAGTATTTTCAGGATAGGGGTACCAGAAGGAGAAGAGAGCCACAAAGGGATAAAAAGTCTCTATGAGGAAGTAATTGTTGAAAACTTCCCCAATCTGGGAAGGAAACAGACACATGGAAATTCAGAGAGCCCCTAACAAAACAAACCCTAAGAAGACAACGCCAAGACATATAATAATTAAAATGACAAAGATTAGGGATAAAGAGAGTACTGAAAGCCAGAGAGAGAAAAAAAGGTTACTTATAAAGGAAGCCCCATCAGGCTATCAACAGACTTCTCAGCAGAAACTCTAGAGGCCAGAAGGGAGGGCATGAAATATGTAATGCCTTGAAACAGAAGGGCCTTGAACCAAGAATACACAGCAAGAGTATGTAATTCAAATTTGAAGGAGAGATTAAATGTTTCCCAGATAAAGACTGAAGGAACTGAAAGGAATTTTAAAGGGACTTCTGCAGATGGAAATGTTCTTAAGCCTAAATAGCTTTCACCAGTGAAAATAAACCCACAGTACAGGTAGTAGACCAATTAATTACCAAGCAAGTACTCTGTAGATGGAAATGTTCTTAAGCCTAAATAGCTTTCACCAGTGAAAATAAACCCACAGTACAGGTAGTAGACCAATTAATTACCAAGCAAGTACGAAACTGAAAAGTAGTAAAACTATACACATAATTAGTCAAGGGATACACAAAAAAGTGCAGAAATGACAGCTAATACATAGTGTGGATGACGAAGAAAAAGAAAAAAGTACTGACCTGGTTTGAAATAGAGCAATCATCAACTTAATATAGACTGTTACAGTTAGGAAGCTATCTTGAACCTTACTGATAGAATCTGGACCTGAGTACTGCCTTTTGAATAAGCCCACCCACCATCTCAGAGAGACCTAGGTGTCATCTTCCCTAAGCTACAAGCATCCTTCAGAGGACATGTCAGCAAGCCACAAGCCCACCTTTCCCCTGACCCCTCCCCTCAAAGAACCCGCCAAAGCCCTGGCCATAAAAAGCCTCTTGACTTTTAGAGACTCTTTTCCTTTGTTCTGCTGGCCAGGACAGAGGGGTCCCTCTCAGGTTTAGCAATAAACCTTGGACTGTGGAGTTTGTGTCCTTTCTTCCCTTTCACTTATGGTAACCACAAACCTAAAGCCTACAATAGATATACAAAAAATTTTAAAAAGGAATCCATCACAACCCTAAAGAAAACCATCAAATAACACAAGTGTTAGGAAGAAGGAACTCAGAACAATAAAAACAACAGAAAACAATAAAAAGGTAATAAGTACAAACCTATCAATAATTACCTTGTGTAAATGGACTGAATACACCAATCAAAAGATGAAGAGTGGCAGAATGGATAAAGAAATCACCCATCTATATGCTGCCTACAAGAGACTCAATTTCAGACTCAAAGACATACACACATTGAAAGTGAAGGGATGGAAAAGGGTAATTCATGAAAATAATAGAAAAAAGCAGGAGTAGCAGTACTTATATCAGACAAAATAGATTTCAAAACAAAGTAACAAGAGACAAGGACATTATGTAATGATAAAAGAATCAGTCCAAAAAGAGGATATAAACATTGTAAGTATCTCTTCATCCAATATAGGAACACTTAAATATGTAAAATTCTAACAGGGGGGAAATAGACTGGAACTCATTCATATTAGGAGACTTTAAGATACAACTTACATCAATAGATCAACCAGACAGAAAATAAGTATGGAAACAGAGGCATTGAACAATATATTAGATTAGATGGCCTTAACAGATATCTAAGGAACACTCACCCAAAAGCAGCTGGATACACATTTTTCTCAAGTGTAGATGGAATGTTCTCCAGAATAGATCACACACTAGGCCACAAAAAGAGCCTTAATAAATTAAAGATTGAAACAGTATCAAGCAACTTGTCAGACTACAATGGTATGAAACTAGAAATAAATTACATAAAACAACAAAGCCAACAAACACATGGAAGCTAAATAACATGCTTCTAGATAATCAAGAATGAACAAATTGAAACAGAAGTCAAGCAATACATGGAGAGAAATGAAAACAAAAATACAACAGTCCAAAATTTGTGGGATGCTGCAAATGAATTCTAAGAGGGAAGTACATGCAACATAAGCCTATCTCAAGAAACAAGAACAATCCCAAATAAACAGTCTAAACTTACAATTAAAGAAACTAGAAAACAAATGAAACCCAAAGTTACTAGAAGGGATATAATAAAGAACAGAGCAGAAATAAATAAAATAAGGAAGACTAAAACAATAGGGAAAAAAAAGTCAGTGAAACCAAGAGCTGGTTCTTTGAGAAAATAAAATAGACAAACCACTAGCCAGACTTACCAAGAAAAAAAAGAGTACACAAAAAAATCAGACACACATAAATATAATAGATACCATAAAAATACAAGAAATTATTAGAGAATTCTTTGAAAATGATCTGTAACTAAATTGGGCAACCTAGAAGAAATAGAAAATCCTTAGAAATATACAACCTTCCAAGATTGAGCAGGAAAAAACATAATCTTAACAGACCGATTACCAGTAACAAAATCGAACTGGTAATCAAAAAACTCCCAGCAAACAAAAGTCTGAGACCAGATGGCTTAATAGCTGAATTCTACCAAACATTTAAAGAAGAGATAATCCCAATCCTCCTTAAAGTATTCCAAAAAGTAGAAGAGGAGGGAATACATCCAAATCCCTTCTATGAAGCTGGCATCATTCTAATACCAACACCAGACAAAGACACTACAAAAAGAGAAAATTTTAGACCAATATCCCTGATGAACATAGGTGCAAAAATCTTCAACAAAATATTGGCAAACTGAATTATAAAAAAATAATAAATCATACATCATGATCAAATGGGATTCATTTCAGGAATGCAAGGATGGTACAACATTTGAAAATCCATCAACATCATCCACTACATCAACAAAAAGGACAAAAATCAAATGATCACAAACCAAAAATCACATGAGAACTTCAAAGAATACCTGTTTTGCAAGACCTTTTTTATTAATAAAGCAGATTGGAACTGTCAAATTCAAATGAACTCTGGGACTCAAAAAGTTTGACTTTTTAAATTGCAGAGTCAACATATAATGGAAAAATCACTGACATTTAAGAACAAGATTAATTCTTTTCATTGAGGTCCTCTACTTGCATTCTCAAAGGAAGAGAGTGATGCACCCATTTCAGGGATTCTGTAGCCTGTCCATGGGAAAAAGAAAATATACGTGATCAGAGAGAACAAGATACTTATTACCATTACATCTGGAGATGAAGTCTATGAATTTGATGTCTCCTTTTATCAGTAAGTACATCTGAACTATAAGTAGCAAATGCCTAAATATTTCAATTTATATGGATCCCTCTTTTACAGATGAGTTCAGTTTCTAATTCCTCCTTATAGTTGTTTTGTTGGTTTTCCCATTTATAATGTTTTTTTCAGTTCATATTTAAAGAAAAAAAAAAAACACTCTATGACCTATCAGTTTTCCTTTTTTTTCAACTTAATTACCCTAAAAAAAACTTTACAGGGTACTACTTTGAATCTTAAATGCCCAGTGCTATAAACTAGTTGGAAGAACAGTCCTTAGCCTTATGAATTGCATCATTCAAATATAAGAGTACCCACTAAATTTTTTTAAAAAGCATCATTATATTTTTCTTTAGTAGTGATTATCTGAAAATTTAAAACATGTTTTAAGGCTATCTCCAATTTTTGGATTACAAATTTAATTGTAGCAATATCTCTTTTTTTAATCTGAGGGATGGGTAGTTTATAAGGCACAGGTAACAAAAGATACAATGATTACAGCTATTAAATGAGCATTCATTTAGAAATGGAATATATCCTTACCAAACATTTTTCTCATAAATATTACTAAGAAAAACTTAAAATCTGGTTACATGTTAAGAAGTCACTCTCTGAAGAAAGCTACGGAGTCCACCAGGGGGCAGAGCTAAAGGCTGCATGTGAAACAGACCGTGGAAGTACCCATGAGCCGAAGGCCAGGTTTCGCACCATGATGTCTGCGTTTGCTGGCAGCGTACACCCAAGGAAGTAACATTAAGCAGCTCTATTTTCTCATTGGAAAGATGGGAAAAATGAAAGAAGTAATACTATATTGATTCTTCCATTTTTTAGGAGAGGAAATTTGTAAATGCCTTTAGAGAGCTTAAAATTCTTTATCAGAGCATTTGCCTTCCTAAAAACCTGCTTTGTTTTACATTCCTAGTAGTTCACAAATCTGCAGTTGGGCTGGATAGTGGACTTTTTCCTTTAAAAACACACACTCACTAGGAAAAGGATTTCTCCTGAAAACGATTATTTTATGATATCAAAGTCATTTAAGACATTTAGCATACACATTTAAAGCTGTCCTCATGTAGAACACAGAAGGCAAGGATAAAACTGCAGGATATGAAATTAGTATCAGACATGTCAACTCTTCCCATGAACAAATCACAGGACACAGAAGTCTATCCAGGACCAAGATGTAACCTGTGAGGATGAGCCACCAACTGTATTTCCCCAACACTAAGTCCTGGCTCCCAAAGAACATCAAATATAAGGTGTTAATTTGCAGTCAGATACCTTAGCGAGATCTTCTTTTAACTTATTGTATTGCACCACATCAAAATGCTGTTGCTTTGATTTCTTATGGAAGAAGTGAAGAAACTGCCTACTCTTAATAGCTGAGTAAGTATAATCCTAAAAAAAAAGCAAACGCATTTTAAATGAACATGATGTCTCCACAAGAGAGACACTTGCCTTAGCAACACCAAAGCAAAGGAAGACAAATGAGTAAAATATTTGCAGTGGCCATCACAGCAAGCATAAGGTGCCATGAAAACATTTAGTCTTGTTTGAGATCAGCTGCTCCTTTCAAAAGCAAACAAGTTGGGAAGAAAAATCACACATTTTGAGAGAGAATGGAGAAAAAGGCAAGTGCAGATTTTGGGCAAAATAATCATGCAATAAAGCTAAAGTTACTGGGTGTTTTGCAATACAAATTTAATCTTATTTATGAATGAGGGCACAGAGAACATAAATTTGATGTGTTTATCTCAGTGGAGGAATTTCTGAGTTGTACTCTTTCTTTACAGCAGTAACAAATAGTTTCTCTGTACTATATATAAATCTCCATCCTTGTGAAAAACATTTATCAGCTTATAAAAACCCAGAAAGCAGTAATACAGTAAATAAAAAGGCTTTATTGCTCTTGCTCATTACTTGACTTGGATAGGAATTATTTGCAAGAGATATTCTAGATTACCATTTTCCTAACAAACTACTCACCTGTCGAGTGACTATGAAGTATGCAAAAAAGACCATGGAGTGTGCAAATGTAACGAAGTATGTAACTGGTTCCATGATATCCCAGGAGTACACCCACCAAGTGAGCCAGGCCATTGCCCCACCCTGAAGGGACAGCAGCGCTAATCCGGCCCACAGGAGTCCACTGGTTTTGGCTTCTGAGCGAGCTTCAATTCTAGCTTTTATCTGAAGGGAAAAAAACGATTGCCGGGTCAGTTTACAAGGTACCGACTTAAGAAGAACAAGAGGGAAGAAAAGTAAAGTGATAATCTGCATTACTCCAGAGAGGTCCAATGTACCAAAAAACAGAATTAATAAAACATAGACATCAGTGAGTGGTCACTTTTTTCCAAATCATTTATCAATAAATTGTTTCTTACATTATAAAAGTAATACCTACTCATGGAAAAAACTTTAAATACCACAGAAGGGTATACAATGAAAAACTCAGAACTCATCCTCTGAAGCTGAACTAAAATTACATGCCTATTTCTTTGACCCAGCAGTTTCACTTCTGGGACTTCATCCTTCAGATATACCTGCACACATGTGATTCATTACACGTTCATTCCTAAGAGGAAAGACCAAAGATCACCCATACATCCAACAAGCTATTCTACAGCTGTAATGAGGAAGCTTTCTATGTACCAATACAGAGATCTTCCCAGGACTCATTGCTAGTGAAAAAAAGGTGAGAACAGTAATAGTGTGCACTTTTTTCTGAAAAAGGAACAAAAACAATAATATATTTGTATTTGGTGGCAGATAAAGAAAATCCAGAGTGAGTCACAGGTATGGAGATACAGTACTGGGAAGATAGTGGTAGGAACACTTGCCCTGGGCCACCTTTTTAGATTTTTAAATCTTAATACAAGTAAATATGTCATCACCTTTTTAAAAAGTAAAGAAAAAATTTAAATGTGGGTACACAATCCAGCAAATAAAATTAAAAAGTCTTTCTCTCTGCCATCCTCCAAGTATCCTTAGAGGTAATCACTATTAAAAATTTCTGTTCATATACAAAGATACACATACTTACACCTACCCATTTTTAGAAATCACAAGCGGAATCATAGGTTTTAAAGATGCAGTTTTTTGGAAACAGGCTCCTACCTCTCCTCCCAAAAGAAAGTTATTTTTTTCGCCACCACTGATTAACTTCAGATGTCAGGAAGCCACTGCGAACTTTCCAGTTGCAATTCTGGAAACTTTTAGCAGAGCAGGGCCATGAGCCTATTCTCTGAAAAAGAAACTGCTGTACTTTCTCCAACTAGTGCATCGCAGCTCATGCTATACTCATTATAGAGACATGGCTGATCCGTGGAGAAGCCCAGCACAGAGTTTAAGGTGGCAGCTCTGGAGTCAGACCATCGGAGTTAAGTTCTGGCTCTACCATGTATTAGCTATGTACCTTGCTGTCTCAGTTTCTTCATCTGAAGAACGTGGAAGATAACAGTACCAAACTCATAGGTTCGCTGTGAGGATTAAAGGAGAAAACAAGCATACATAAAGCATTCAGAACAATGCTCACAGGCAGAGAACTCAACAGATACTGGGTATCATTTTCCAACAGACCCAACTGTGATGCTCCCTAACCTGTTCCAGAGGCTCCAGCTGCCTCTTCAAATGGTAAATTTTCTCCAGTAAATGGTGCTCTCTCTTCTTCTGAAACTCTGCTAAATGCAAGGCTGTAAACAGTCTGTGAACCAAGGATTTCAGGTCGTCCGTCTGAGCTGAATGCTCACTACTCAGGTTTTCTGAGAGAAGACAGAAGGGAAACGTAAGGCAGTCACCAAGGGTCTGTCAGGCCAGGGGCCCATCTGAGTCCCCATGGTGGCCCCCTGAACACCCCCTGATTCCCGGGGACACACTGCTGTTGGCATTTCTCAGGGGACTCCATTAGTGTCTCTCATATAAAGACAATCTGGAATGAATGATAAATGACCAGGCAGTAGATTTCAAATAAATTATGTTTTTGCTTGTCATTCTCCTTTGTAATATGGCTTTTGCTGTTTCATTAGAAATCTTCATACAGGAAAAGTAAGGGGAGTATCCATCTACCAGGATACAGGTGAATACCTCACCTTAGTTGTAACACATAAGTTTATGGGTTCACTTTTATACCTGAGTTCAACCTAAGATCCCTTTCTGTGCACCCCAGCCATCAATCCAAAAATTATTTGAGGATTTACAAGGCAGAGAAGCTGGTGTTGTGACATGTAAACTACAGTATAACATACAACTGAAAAGCAGTTTAAGGGTCAGTTCTTTTCAACAGGGTGTAGATTTGAAAGGTTCACAAGAAAGGGGGTCTTAGTACCCAAGTTCTTTAGATTGTGAATTTCTCTCATCCTTCTGCCTCTGTGGATCTGTAACCCCACAATCAAGCTGGAATGCTACCTTTCTGAGGATTATCAGTGTCTGCCAGCACTGTAAAAGCACCTGAGGCAGGGGGACAGGACAGAGGGAAGATAGACCTCCCCAGGCAGCAGCAAGCTGCGAGGACAAGGGAGAATTCTCATCCTGGAGTCAGTATTAGCCCAGGGGTTTTCCAGTTCACCAGCAGTTCTGAAGTTTTCTCTCCCATCTCCACCCACTTTCTCAAGACTTCACTCTGGTTTTCAACCCCTCCCACATTCTAGCCTAAAGCTGCCATAAATGGTGACAACCAGAAGGTCCCTTCTAGGCTTTTGAGATTTGCAGAACAATCAGAGCTTTTTTTGTTGTGATGAAAAGATGTACTGATATGTAAAAGCCCTTCCTATACAAGAAAGGGATACATGGGGCATGATTTTGTCTAAAGCTGTGGAGTGTATCAAAGATACAGCCAGACACTAGTTGAAGTGGCGGTAAGGATAGATTTTATTCAGTAACTACTGCAATAAGGAAGCGAGCCAGCGAGACCTGAACTCAATTTCCATTTGCATACAGGTGGCTGGGCATTTTAAGGGAGGGAGAGTATTAGGGGCTTAAGCAGAGTAGTGGGCAGTTACAAAAAACGGACATGAGGTTAATGAATGTGACTAGGCCATTTGGGTTTGTTAATTGGTGCTTCTCCAGGAGAGAAACAGGAGGCAGTGGTGCAAGCTCAAGCACAGCACCCACCAAGTGGGAGCAGTGCAAGAGTTACCTCCTTGGATGATTGCATTTCAAAACAAAGACAGTTCTGAGTGGTAGAAGATTTGAACTTCAAAGGGGTAGAGAAAGGACTTATAATTGCAAGCTTTCTACAGTAACTGTTCTAACATGGAGCTATCAGCCTATCACCTGGTTTTCAATGGACCAAACAGTAAATTCTCCTTGTCTAAGCTTTCTCAGACAAGAGGGTGGGAATCATCATCCCTGGGATATGGTCTTTAGCTGTCAGAAACTATGCTGGTGTTTGTTCACCTGCGTGCATGCGTGCGTGCGTGTGTATGTGTGCGTGTGTTTGCACCTGTGTGCATGCGTGCATGTCTTAGGGGGTGCAGCAGGGTGAACAACATCATTTGTGCTGAGAACTTGCAGCTTTTAAATGCCAAGGTTAAATGCCAAGGGGGTTCAGAGGAGTTTGGCTAAAGCCTGATTAAGGGGACAGTCTGTATCAAGTGACACAAAATGTTTGAGTCCAATGACAAGCACCTTTGGCTATGCTCTTTCAGCAATGCGGACACCAAAAAATTCACTGTGTTGTATTGCCAATTTAAACATTTGTCAGTGGCATCTCCTAACAAAGGTCAAAAGTGAAAGATAATTATTCTTTTTTCTTCAGAAGCTATTAATTCCTTTTATATGTGTCTTTCATGTGGATTTCATTTCTGTATCCTAAATTTACAAATACAGATTTGCCAATGGTTTTGTGAAGAAATGGAGTTTATATAAATTATTTTTAAAACTGCAAATTTATGATTTTATAAACTTCAAATTCTATTAACCCACTCTAATTCCTTTGTCATTTTTTCTTCTATCCACACCTACTTTGTCCCTGTTCACTTACTTTATGCTGTGAGAATGGGCAAGTCTGACTCACCGCTCAGTGACGCCTCATGACCCTGAGAACAGTGAGACCCTGGCTCACTGGGCCTCAAGCCTCCAGGGTAGGCCCTGCCCCTGGAGCTCCATCCCAGCAAATGGCCCCTCCAGGCAGGAAGAGGGGTGTCCTTCCAAGGAGCTGGCAGGAGAGGAGGCTGTGCTTCAGTCCACCTGGACCTAAGACTTATGTCACATGTTGGCCCCCTCTTATCTTCCCGTCTCACAGAGATATGTAAAAAGAAAGAAAGACTAAGAAGCTCTTTTGAAGGTTACAGTCCAGGAATTCTGGCCCATTTAAAACCTGAGATTTAATCATAAGATTAGAGAATGCTTCCCCTCTCCCATACCTTAACACCGCATAAACAGGTCTCCAGTTCTGTGCAAGATGCAGGCTCTATTAAGAAAGAATTCATAGAAAATATTGGAGAGAGAAAGACAGGAGAAGAAACTGAAGCCTCTGATACCTACAGCTCCAGCAAACACTAAACAGCATGACTCTGAGCCAGATACACATAAAACCTCACACTAAATGCCTACTTGCTTCAGTTTCTATTACCCAATAAACCATATGTAGCTTTCAACACAAAATTACAAGACAAGTAAAAGACATGAAAAAACAACCTGGAGAAACAAAGCAAGCATCAGAACCAGACTCTCATATGGTGGATATTTTGGAATTATTAGTCCTGGAAATTAAGACAAATATGATTAATATGCTAAGGCTGTGGTGGAAAAAGTAGACAACATGCAAGAGCAGATGAGTAATGTAAACAGAGAGATGGAATTCTAAGAATCAAAAAGAACTGTCAGAAATGAAAAACACTGTATAAGAAGTAAAGAATGCCTTTGACGGGGTTAATCAGTAAACTAGACAAAGGGGAGGAAAGAATCAAAGAGCTTGTCCATATCAGGATGCCTATAGAAACTTCCCAAACTGAAAAGTAAGGAGAAAAAGGAATGGGAAAAGAGGAACAGAATATCCAAGAACTGCAAGACAATTACATAAGGTGTAACAGGCATAATGGGAACATCAGAAGGGGAAAAGAGAGAAAATGGACAGAAGAAGTACTGGCAGTAATGATGGCTGAGAGTTTCCCAAAAGCACTTCGCTATTGGTTAAAATGACAGTTTGAGATGAAAAGCAAAGAATCTCCTTTAAAAAAAGGAGTTAAGACTGGTTTTTAGTCTGGTGGGTAAGGAGCTTACAAGTTGTCACTCTGACCAAACATCAAGGAAAAGGCAGAACAAACTGAAAACCAATAGTCTTCTCGGACTGCTAAGAGTACTGAGATGACAGGGCAAACTACTGTCCACATAACCGGAAAGATGGGTGATCACAGAGAACCACCACTCAGCAGAGCAGGGACGTCAACGCTCGGGTAGGGAAGCCTGAACTGTAATTGAACAGTTGTTGTGGGGCCCAGGGCGGACCACTTAGAAATAAAACTCCAGCGGGGCACAGCTTTAGGGAGGCAGGCCCACTCTTTCGTGATGTTTACCTCTAGGAGTTCTACAAGGTTCTTATGGAGACAATTACTCTATGCTTCCAGCAGGAGAGGAAAAAGTAGCCTTTTTCAAATACACCACAGCAACCTGTTCATAAAAGGGCTGGCCCTCAAGAGAAATTGTTTTACCACAGCCTAACTTAACAGGGCTTTAAAAGACTCTAACTGACCTGGAGAGAGGGAAATACCCAACTCCAGCACCCTCCCACTATCCTGTCCTACCCAAAGTGGAGCTTAAACTGAGAAGGACTTGTGAAGTTCACAGTCCAGGGCACAGGTTCATTAAACACTGATACCTAATCACGTCACGACAGAACACTTCTCCTCCCCACACCTTATGATACTGCTAAAGGCTTATTTACCACAGCTCTTTTTACCCACTACATAAAGTCCAACTTTCAACAAAAAATTACAAGACATACTAAAAGGCAAAACACACTTTGAATAGCCAGAGCAAGCATTAGAACCAGAGAGAGATATGGCAGGAGTATGGGAATTATAAGGCCATCAATCTGAAGTAACTACAACTAAAATGATAAGGCCTCTACTGAAAAAAGGTAGACAATGTGCAACAACAGATGAGTAATAGAAGCAGTGAGATAGATATTCTAAGAGAACATCCATAACATTAGCAGAAATGAAGAATGCCTTCAATGAGCTCTTTACTAGATGGGACATGGCTAAGGAAAGAATATCTGAGCTTGAGGGTAAGTCATAGAAAATTTGAAAACAGAGAAGCAAAGAGAAAAAACTATGAAAGGTATAACATACATATGCACATAATGTGAATTCCAGAAAAAGAGAGAAAGTAACAGAAGAGATACTTGAAGCAATAATGACAAAACTTCTCCAAATTAATGTCAGACAGCAAATTACAAATAGATCCAGGAAGCTCAGAGAACATCAAAAGCAGGATAAATGCCCCTAAAACCTCTACACCTAAGCATATTATATTCAAACTGCAGAAGATCAAAGATAATGTCTTGAAAGAAGCCAGAGGAAAAACACCTTACCTGTAGAAGGGCAAAGATAAAAAGTGCATCTGACTTCTCAAACTAGAAGCAAGAAGGTAGTAGAGTGAAATAGTTGGAGTTTTAAGAGGAAAAAAAATCACTAACCCACAATTCTGCACCCTGTAAAATTATCCTCCAAAAGTGAAGTGATGGAGAAATGAACACTTTCTCAAACAAATGAAAACTGAGGAAATTTTTTGCCTGTAGACCTGCCTTGCAAGAAATGTT